ACAGAGTGAAGCAGCTCTCTTCCTTTCCATCTGCCATCTTGGTTTCAGCAGTTTGGCTAGCTTTAAAAAAATGAGAAAAATTTGTTCTTCATTCTCTGCCCAAAGACAGTGAAAGGAGAGAAAAAGGCTCTAACTGAACATACGGGTGAGTAAAAATGGGGAAAAACAGAAAGGTGATACATGATTGTCAGAGCTGACCACTTTCTACACAGGGAGAACAGCCTGTCCATTTCAATTCAAAGTCAGATGACCTAGTCTAAATCCTCACTCAAGTGTGCATCAAACACGTTCCTTGGCAAAATAGCTGACTCGATCTGTCAGGTGGCTGTTGTCCACAGGGTATGTTCCCCTGTCACCCTTCCTCCTCTTTTTTCTCCCAGTCTCAGTTTCTATCCTTGTCAAGTGCTAATGCCAGCCCCTCACTGAACCCACAGAGAAGTAGTCACTTTCCATCTTCCGGAATTAGAATGGCAGAAGTTGGTCACCAAGACCAGGGGTGAGGGAAGATGTATCACAGAACCAGACTCCTCCTCATTTCACTATCCCCTGATGCAAGTGCATCTTCTTTCTATGGAGTAGAAAGAAGGAGAGCAGCCTTCACTGAGGATTAGGGTATGAACATCCAGAGGCACTAACTTCTGGTTGTTTCTAAAACAATCTTGTGACTATGCTCTAGGCCTCTAACCCTGAAAAAAAGTTTGTTACTTTCTGCATTTGACAAGCTTCAGCACCATGCTAGGAAAAAAGGGAAAAAAAGAAACAAAAAGAAACAAAACCCAAACCCAACGCTTTTGGGTATTTACAGGTTTATAATACTGCATTGACTACTCCCCAAAACCACCATTCAGGAAAAAAAAAATTAAAGGATGAATGCACTTCAGCATTAGTGCTCTACTGAATAAGGCAAAAAAGTATGCACTTTTTTGCACAATTTAAACAAACTCTAAAAATTGTGTCCATACACTTTCTATAATAATATTAAATGGTAATTTTAACAAGAGTAAGCAAGAAACCAAATTGATTTAAATACTGTTTCATATTTTAAAACAAAAGCCACTATATATGAAAATATTTATCAGGGTTTTTAAAATCTACTGAATAAGGCAAAAAAGTATGCACTTTTTTGCACAATTTAAACAAACTCTAAAAATTGTGTCCATACACTTTCTATAATAATATTAAATGGTAATTTTAACAAGAGTAAGCAAGAAACCAAATTGATTTAAATACTGTTTCATATTTTAAAACAAAAGCCACTATATATGAAAATATTTATCAGGGTTTTTAAAAAAAAAAAAACCACATTTTTTTTCTTAAGTGAAATGAAGGTACATTGTAAATGTCAGAGAAACAAAAACTGAAACAGTCCACTGTACATTCCTGGAAATGAACTTCAAAGCACATCTGGTTTATGTTTCACTAGTTATGTCACTGGAAACACAATCTAAACCACAGAGCTTCTTGTAAAAATCTCAACTTTCACAGATTCTGGAGTCTCAAAAAACTGTCCCACCCCCCATAACAAATTGATAAAAAATTTCAATTGAACTATAAATGAAAACAGTGAAGGATTTTGTTGTTTCTTCACAGTTACTGATGAGAGTTATATTAATTAAAAATATACTGGTGAGTAACAGGCATCAGAGCATTGTCAGAGCACAACACAGAGCTTCTGGCTAGAGAAGTTTTTTACAACTAGTGAACTTGTAACTCCAAACCGAATTACGTACTGTTTCTCTGAAAACAGAATTTGAGCAGAAAAAGATTCATTTATTCCTCCAATGCCAATTCACTCAACATTAGAAACATTGTAATACATTTAATAGGTTTTATGGACAGTTTTATGCCAAACTGCTCCTGACCAGCTAAATTTAAACATCAATCTAATTACGAGATTCAAGATGAAGAGGACAGATCATTCATGACCTATATATGTAAGTTAATGTAGATAACAATACTGAAAGAAACTGAAAATCCTTCCGATTCTGCTGTACAGACAATAAAAAAAGATAAGCATTATAGGGTGGTTACACTAAACTATGTTCAGAAAGGAAATATTCTTACAAACCTGAAGTTTTACTTAATGATTAGTTGTTAGCTTTTTTCCCCCAAATGAGAAAACAGGAATTTTTTTCTTCCATTAACAAAAAGTTTTATTATTTTAAATATTACTGCAGCATTCATGCTCAATCACAAGCTCATTGCTCAGAGTTCAGCAGACGTACAAGATTACAAAATACAGTCAAGAAAAGCACAGTCACTGTTATTCTATGAAGATGGCAAAATATCCTCCTTTTCAGTAACAAGCTAAACCTGATGACCACTACGAAAGGGAGATGAGACAGAGAAAGATCTACATGAATATCTAAAAAGAAGTTAAAAAAATAAAATGAGAGTAAATGCATTAATTAAAATCTCACCAAACTCGCCAAACAAAAACTCAAACAGTCTTAATGAGCCTGAATGATCATCTCAGTAATTATTCTTTCACAATAGAATAGATCTTAATTTACATAACAACCTGCTTAAATAAAGTGTGTGTGCATTTTCTACCTCATGCTCAGGTTGTCTTGAGTTGTAAAATATCTCAGTTTCTGTATTACTACATGACTGTCAGAGGCACTATAACGTGTTAGTTTGAATAAATCATACTGGTTCTTTATTCATGTTTTTAGAATTGATTCATAAACTGATAATTTGGGGAATGCACATAATTCCCTTAGACAAAACCTGAGAGTGGCCATATTCCCTAGAAAAATGCACTAAGCTGGCCATTAAGAGAGGACATGCCTGCCAGCTGGATTTCAGCTAGTATCTTCTCTTCGTATACTTTCCTGTAAATTCTATTTTATTTTAACTGTAACTTTTTTTTGTTACTATGGTTTTGCAGTCAATATCAGCTGGCAATGCTATCTAAAGAAGTCACCCTCTCCTCAATGAACTATTAATTCAAATGAACTAGTAAAGTCATTTCCACTCCAGAATAACTCTCCCTCATGCTCTTCTCCACTTAAACCCTCCTCACAAAAAAACTAAGATAAGGGACTCCCAGATTTGGTTCACTATATCACGATCTCCAAACAACTTCTAGCACAAGAGAAAACACACTGCAATAATAATAAGGATGTCCAGAAGACAGAAAAGATCACTTTTTTCCTATGGCTGTGGTGGCTCAATGCAACCATGAAACTACTTATTTGTTGCCGTTGTTGTAGTCAAATCCTTATTTTGAGTCTTTGTATTAATATTACTACTATTGTTACTATTAAAAAACAAATTTATGTTTTGTATTTGAAAATCTAGATAAAATTTGTTTCAGTAATTTTGGCTAGGTTGTTTGTATTCTGGCATCTCATTCATCTACCTTTTGGTCAGTGCTCTGAAGTTGATCGCCTTTTCACCTTGGTAATGAACATCTCCCTTTACCATACTATTCCAGTTTTTCTGTCTAGAAGATTCCTTAAGAAACATGCCCATTGAGGGCACATGATAAGCTATTTTCATAGTGCACATAAACTAAATGTACAGACAGACCCTGAAGAATAAATTTCACCTGAACACTGTAGATAGATACTAGGCATTAAGACAACTTAGCAGAGAAAGCACTATAAATCCATGAGGCTATAATACAAGAAAAGCCCTACTCTCAACAAATGCTACTAATTTGTAACATACAGGGAAAGCAGAAATTTTAACTTTTAAAAGTGACCTCTGAAACACACATGTACTAAAATATGAAGGAACATAAGTTCTTTTGAACAAGGGTGAAGAGGTGAATGATTTGATACTGCCAGAATTTCAACCATTTCATGGTATATTTTGAATGTAAACACATATTCACTTTCTGAACAGCTGGAGACATTCAAAATACTATTGCCCTCCCATGTTGCTTGCTTCCACTCCTCTGCTCAAAATCGGTAAAGAGCACGAGTGCTCCTCACCTGCTTCAGTGCAAACTTAGCCCATCCAGCATATGCTGCTAAGGAAATGATGTAAGTTAACCTGACTGAACTTACATAGCAAGAATGGTTTACACAGTGCTTCCACTTTCCTTTCTGTATGTTTGTTTAGCTCGGCAGTAACTTCTGTCTGATCAGTAATAACAAGCAGCTGAGGACAATAACATCTTCCACAGCTTCAAACAAATCTGGACGATGACACTGGTTCACATAACAGGTATTCCATAACAAAAGATTACAGCTTCGCCAACACTCACTCAAATGCAAGATTATTTACTATAAAAACTTTCTAATGATAACAAATACTGAGATTTACAGATCTTGGAACGAAATAAAAAATAATGCAAAAGACCAGTAAAATTCTACTACTCTGAATACTAATTAAAAATTGAGACCAAAGTTAATGCTTCTATTTTGACTTTTTTTGTACAGCCTTGCTTAATTTTTTTTATAATTAAAACTTCTCATTAGTTTCTGCTATGTAACATTTTCATTGCTCTAACATCTGTGTTTATTAGCGATATAAGAAAGCAATTTTGACGATACCGTAAAAATAAAGGACAACTTTAGTATCACCAGGCAGTAAAATCCAGATCCTGGAATTCAAACGTCACATAAAGCATCACAAATACCGCAATTTGTTCTAGAATTAACTATCACCACAGACCGAAAGGAAAAAAGAAAGAAGAGACTCTGTGATCAAAACAGACGCACTTCCCTAAATGATGGACTAGCTGTCCGTGCTACATGAACAAAAGCAAGCACATATTGCCCTTTATTCCATCTTAAAAATGTTTTACCTAAGGAAAGGAAAATATTTTCATACAAAAATGGACTGATTACTTTGAAAGAAATTCAATAGCAAGATCCAACACACTAAAAATACTGCAGAGAAATTACAAGAGGAATGCAATGATTTATGCAATATCTTAGTTCTGTCTTTTCCTCTGGTACTCGTCACCACTCTCAATCTTTTGTGATCATTTTGCTTTAATGTTATATAATAAGCAATAAAATTAACATAACTTGCAGATTTTTCACCTTCACATGTGTCTGTCTCAGTGCTGAACACGTAACCCTTTGGACAAGTGCAGCTGTAACTTCCAGGGGTGTTTCGACAGAGCCCATTATCACACAGCAGCCCGTTCACTGAACATTCATCAACGTCTGCAAAAAGATGAGTTAGACATACTGATGAGTGCAAATGCTGTGAGATGCCTTCAGCTCCACAAGTCGCCCCTGTTGCTTTCTACAGCAACAATTAGATTGCCGGATATGCAGTTTTCTACAACAGTGACTGAGCAAGGAAAAATGCCAATTCTTACTTTCAAAAGTCTAATTCATTTTCAGCTTCTTGTTATCAAAAATTCTGTTTTGCTTTTAAAGTTTTCAATTAGTAGGCTCTAAAAATGGTTAGTCTTAAAATAATAAATATGTTTTCCAGGAATGATTTTCGGACCTTTGTCAATTGTATGACTATATCACCATGACAACTTCAAAAAGGTCTATCTGCTTTGAAATCAGCATTTAAGTTTGGGGTTTTTTTTAAACACATAAATAACAGTGTGTTAGATTACTGTTCTAATCCTGTTTTATGGGAAAAAATTGATTTTGTTATCCATGAAGTGAGTATGTGCATTAAAATCTAAATTGTACAGTTCATGCATGGCACACATCTCAAGAGTATACATATGTACCTCCTCTCCAGAGGAGGACTGTATTAAAAAAAACCCCTATGACTAAGACCAGGATATCAAGCACACTGAATAAGAAAAATACATAAATTAACATCAGTCCCCGAACTCCTCTTATACTAACTGCAAATAATGCTAATAAAAAGCAGTCAATCTTCCTCATTGCCCTATTGTTTATTTTTAAAAACAACAAAAAAATATAATTTCAAGCTACTTTAATGCCCATCATATGTCACAAATACTTAAGCTTATAGAAGAGTACTGACAAGATAAGCCATGACAAACCTGACACTTTATCCTGCTTCAGGGTGTCTCCTATATTTTGACTGCATGATTTCCCAAATGCAACTGAAATCTTAAAACAACTAGATTTTTAAAAATAAAGAAGAAAACCAAGAATGCAATATAATTACAGTCTGAAGGCTTTTGGTTTCTCAACTACGTTAGATTTTGCAAGCTATGTTTATAAATTCCTTCAGGATTCAGACAACAAAGTCTAAATTTCCCCAGATGATCAATCCCAGATTTAAGTTCAGCAGCTGTAAAGCTCTTCCAAACTCACCTATCCTTAATCTAAGCTGATCTGATTTTAACTAAGTAAAAGAGGATGGATTTGAAATTTGACAATTTCAAAAGTAAAGACTTTAATTTTGAGCTTGTTGTCATATAATCCTTTAAACCAAACTAGCAGTGTTATGAACATATGACTTCCTTAAGAGTCCCACCAAATAACTTCAGATTTGGACTGTAATCTATTGTGATATGCACTGTGAAAACACAGAACGATATAGCTCATGCTCTAAAAACACTTAAAACTGACTAACATACTGTCTGATGAATACTTTTATTTCCTGGCAGCTCGTAATCTGTATCATTAATTAAAACATTTCAATCCTTTATTTGAGAGTTCATAATTAAATTCTTTTGGGCAAAAATTCTCCTATCTAAGAATAAATGTATCCTTGCAGTCAGCATCCTGTATTTTTATTTAAATCATTAAACAGACATATACCTGTACTAACACTCATATAATTGCAAGTGTAACTAACTAAATAAATTCCGTTGCCATAAAATCCATTTGGAAAATTAATATTATGCGAAGTATTTTAAAAAAACACTGACAGTTTTCTGCAGCAATGCCTTTCCTGACAAAAGGTCATATTTAGGGCCTTTAGAAAACAACTAGCTGTAAAATTCCTTAAGTCAAGAAGATGAAAAGAAACACTTCCATTATTTTGTGTTTCCTTTGCATCACTAGATAAGAATGTTTGGTATTAAAATTATACCACAGTTATATAGTCCAGGCTTTCCCTATCAAAAATAGTGGGGTTTTATTGACCACAAATACCAGTGATAGGTCAGTAAATCTTTACAGGTAGAGACCAGTAATTCCCCAAAATAAACACATGAGATGGTAGGACAATACTTAAGAGTTTCTAATGGTTTCAGATAGATTTCCATTAGCTTTTAATACAAATAAGCTTCAGTCTTCTGCTTAAAATTAAAGGACTGTAACAGGACTATAAGTGCTATTATTGTACAAAGTACTCGTGGCATAATACAGTTTTTTTGGATGTTACAATTCCCGAAAGAATTTCATGTATGACCGTGAATAATAAAATTAACCAGACAGAGAGCGAAATGTATAACACAGGTATCTTCTGTTGGGTATTCCTAAACACTTGCAGAAAATGTATCCAGATACCGCAACAACAGTACAAATCACAATCAGAAGTTTCTGAAGTGAATCATTCCTGTATATTGATCACCTGAAATTCTGAAGAATAAAAAAACAGCTGTTACATTTGAGCCCACTGTTCAGACATGATTTGTGAAATTCTAAGAGTGAGTCATTGCTTCCTTCACGAGCTGAAGAAGAAATTCATTTTGTGAAGAAATTAGAGGACTAAGCATGCAGCAATCCATTCTGCTGTACATCTGTAGCTCCGGGACATGATGAATTATTGCATACCGCAGAGATTGTGTACATAGGCTACCAGTTACCATTCATTATGATAATGATAGCCTTCTGTTAAATTTTATTATGCAAAATGGTGACCTTCAGCTCTTGACAAATTATGATCTAGCCCTGAAAGGGACACATTTCAGGTGGTCATGACAAATATTACACATTAAAATATAACATAAACTGATGCATGCTTTTGAGAAAATTAATTCTTAACCTGCAATGATATCTCCTGCTCCTATTTCCCAAACAGTAATATCTCCCCACCAAATAACAGAAAAATACACCAGTAAGAATATTAGCTAAGCAGTGACTGAGAAAAGGAGTTTAGAAATATTTTCATTGTAGCTTTTAGAAGTAGATGTTTCGCAACTGACATTCTGTCAATTCAAATTAGCATCAAAATAGTGATGAATTATTCAACAATAATACAAAAATTGAGTGACTTACCCACACAATTCCTTCCAGAAGGATCAGGCTCATAGCCACCGTTACAGTTACAACGATAGCTGCCACGTAAGTTTTCACAAATTCCATTGGAGCAAATATCAGGATCCAATGCACACTCATTAATATCTGTATTAACACAACACAGAAGATAACCAGATACGGAAAGATATGAAAAACCTCATCCGGTTACAGATGTAGACAATATCTGACTCACTGGATATTGAGGCTGTCATTCAGAACAAGGGTGCAGCCAGAAGGCTGAAGGAAGTGATTATTTGCCTCTATCTGACACTAGTTAAGGCAAACCTGCAATACTGTGTCCAGTTTTGGGCCACTTCATGAGGTTCACATGTGCCCACTCCTCAAGCCTTTCAAGGTCCCTCTGGATGGTATGTCTTGCGTCTAGTGAATCAAGTGCACCACTCAGTTTGGTGTCATCTGCAAACTTGCTGAGGGTGCACTCAAACCCACTATCTATGTCACTGATGAAGACATTAAACTGTATCGGTCCCAGTATGGAGCCTTGAGGGACACCGCTTGTTACTGGTTTCCTCTTCGGACATTGAGTCATTGACCCTAACTCTTTGCACATGACCACCCAGTCAATTCCTAATCTAACAGTCCATCCATCAAACCCATCTATCTCCAATTTAGTGGCGAGAGAAGAATGTTGTGGGGGACTGTATCAAAGGTCTTAGAGAAGCCCAGGTAGATGGTATCAGTAGCTCTTCCCTTGTCCACTCATGCAGTCACTCCATTGTAGAAAGCCACTAGATTAGTCAGGCACAATTTGCCCTTCGTGAAGCCATGATGGCTGTCTCTAATCACCTCTATCTTCCATGTTTTCGCATAACTTTCAGGAGGATCTATGCCATGATCTTACCGTGTGCTGAGGTGAGGCTGACTGGTCAGTAGTTCCCAGGATCCTCATTTTTATCCTTTTTAAAAAATGGGTGTGATATTCCCTTTTCTGCACTCACTGGGGACTTCACCTCACTGCCATTTTTCAAATATGATAGAGAGTGGCTTAGCAACTACATCTGCCAGTTCCTTCAGGACACTGGGATGTATTTCATCAGGTTCCATGGACTTGTCTATGTTCAGGTTCCTATGATCAGGTCTTGAATCTGATCTTCTCCTATGATGGGAGGAACTGTGCTCCCCCAGTCCCTGCCCTGATGTTCAGAGACTTGAGAGATATGCGAAGAGTGATTGTCAGTGAAAATTCAGGCAAAAAAACTGTTGAGTACCTCAACCTTCTCCATGTTAGTTGTCACCAGTTCTCCTCTCTTATTTACCATGTTTGTGTGTGTCTTTTTACATTTTCTTGTAATCGTCCTTTTCTGACCAATGTGCCTGTAAGAAGCCTGTTGTATTTTTCACATTCTTTGCAAAACTCAGCTCCAACTGTGCTCTAGCTTTCCTGATCTCACGCGTACACATCTGGGCAGCATCCCTGTATTCTTCTCAGGATACATGTGCTTGGTTCCACTGCCTATGCATTTCCTTCTTACATTTTAGTTCGACCAGAAGGTTCTTACTCAGCCATGCTGGTCTCCTGCCTTCCTTGCCTGATTTCTTACATGTGGGAATAAAGAGCTCTTACAATCTAAGGAAAATGTCCTTAAAGAGCTGCCAGCTTTGTTCTGCTCCTTCATCCCTGAGGGCAGTTTCCCAGGGGTTCCATCCACTAATTACTTAAAATACTGAAAGCTTGCTCTCCTAAAATTCACAGTCCTGGCTTTACTCTTCACCTGGTACACATCCCTCAAGATCACGAGTTCCACCAGAACATGATCACTGCAGCCCAGGCTGCCATCAGGCTTGACCTCACTAATTAGTTCATCTATGTTGGTAAGCAACAGGTCCATTGACACTTCTCCTCTGATTACACTATCACCTGGATTAAAAAACTACCCTCAGTACACTCCAGTAGTCTCCTGGACCACATACAGCTTGCTGTGCTGCTTTTCTGGCAGATGCCAGGGTGACTGAAGTCCCCTAGCAGGATCAGTGCCTGATGTTCGAGAAGAGGCTGAGGGAACTGGACTTGTTTAGCCAGCAAGAAGGAAGATCAGAGGAACATCTAATAGCAGTTCTCTGATCTTAACAGATTGTTATAGAGAAGATGGAGGTAGACTCTTACTTGAGGTATACAATTACAGGGCAAGGGATAACAGTTACAAGCTACAACAGGGGAAATTTTAACTGAACACCAGGAAAACAATTCTTCCCCATGACAGTGGTTAAGCACTAGAGCAAGCTGCCCAGAGAGGCTACGTGAACTCCATCCTTGGAGATTTTCCAAACTCCACTGGGCAAGGCCCTGAGAAACCTGATTTAACTTTGAAGTTACCCCAGTTCTGAGCAGAAGGTTAGGTTGGATGACCTCCAGATATCCTTTCCAACCTAAATCAATAGGGAACTATGTGTTTGTAAGAATATCTTGATGGAAAATATCTACCCTGTGCACTCGGAGCCTGTGGTTTAAAGATCTAGGTAAGAAGTTATAAATTATTAGGTGACACAAATACTATTCCTAACACAGAACTAATGCACAGATCAATACCACAGCATACTCAGTCTTATAGGAATTATAGCACTTGGAAATTTAAAATTTTTCTCAGATCAACAGAATAGGATGATGAATGAATTATTCCCTGAATATGAATTATTCATGAATATGAATAATTACAGTCCCATATAGAATTTCTGCTGTAGCTGGAAAATTCCAAAATATTTGTATGAACTACAAGAACAGGAACAGGCTAGTTTTAATATTTTTTGCCTCTGAGGAAAAGAGTTTTTCAATACTAAGTTATTTCTTTCCATATGGTAAGCCCATTACTTTAAATAGTTCCCTCTCCAAACCCTGGAAAGAACAGCAGGGGTGTTGGACTAGCTGTGACTTCAGAAAAAGCTTGTTTCATAGTTATACCACCCAACTTCTTATAAAGGACATTTCCTCTTTAATTATAGTGCAGTTTAGATCATGATTTACATATACTCAGATATGCATTCAGAAAAAATCATGCTACCCCTGGATTAAACTTAAAGCTACAAGACATTTGAAAATTTCATAAGAAAATACGAATTAATATAATATTTCAGTTTTATGCTTTCTTTTGAGCAAAAAGTTTTCCGTAGTTTACTAAACTTGTTTGCACCTTGGGAACAAGCCACACAACTTCATGACTCTACCTCTCCTTATCAAATTACTGATTTCAGAAGGTCCAGCTCTTCCTGTTACCTTTTACATGGAACTAGACTGCAAAGTCTCTGTCCTCACCTATGTCCAGACTTCTCTCACATGAAGACACTAAGGTTTTGTGCCTGGTAATCATAAGCAGAATAAGATGTGTAGGGATTTGGTGGTGGGACTGCAGTCTAATTAACAAACTATGTACCAACTAAAAGTAAAATAAAACCTCTATGACAAGAGCTTCACCGATGAAGTATATTCCCACTCACTCTTGATAATGAGAATGCATGAGCAACAAACAGAATTTTCATTAGGGACTGACTGTGGCATCAGTATTCCTCTCCTTTACGAAATGGAATTGGCAAACAAAGTACCTTGGTATAGGCAGTGGTAAGAGTAGCAGCAAGAAAATTGTCTGCAAGGTCACTGCACAAGATGTACAGAAAACACGAGGGTTTTCTTCAGAAACCTAAACAAAGGGGGACTTTAGTTGAGAAATGAAGCCCCAAGAGATTATAATCTTTATCATGCAGTTGGTAGAGACCACAATTGGGTTTATGCTTTTAGTGAGAAATTGTATTTTCCATGTCTCCATAAGAACATATAATCTCCCTACCAGACTACTAGTCATGGTAGGGCGCTGTTTGTACAATATTATGGCACACTGCCATTATTTCTCCATGAGATTTAGAGATTCTTCAAATGGACTTTGTATAATTCACTGAAAAGAAAACCGAGAGAATTTACAAACTCTATGGATTTCAAATTACTTGTAAGTTTGGCAACATGTTAAGCAATGAGCTCACAGAGAAGAAAAAACTATGCATATATAATTACAGTACTGAACAGACAGAGAATTTCTTTTATTATAGTACTATTTTTAAGAGTTATGTGGGCTGCTACAAAGTATAATGATCAGAGGGTCTCATTTTGTTCCTGTAGAACTGAATAGGAGCTTTAATGCTGACAAAGATAAAAGCTATACAAATTAAATGCCTGGAAATACTAAATGTACAGTATCTGCTTTAATTTGGCTGCAACTTTATTAACTCATCAAGGAACTATCTAGCAATAAATCATAATGCTGTGTTCCACCATACCTTCTTCAATCCACTCTACATATTTGGCAGCTGCAGCATGCATTGCCCCTACTTCAGGCCTTGGCTCAGCTATTATTTTTAAAATATCTCTCTCTGTGGTAACAGGAAAAGGAGCTGGACCTTTACAGTTCCCAGTACTAAATGAAATTAATTTTTTCAGGAGGACCTTTTTTAGTAAGCTCCCTTCCAACTCTAACTCAACAGAGAAATGATCCCTCCATGGAAACAGTCCATGTAGTGAACACTGGATCTGGAGTGAAAAACTGCTCTATTACTATCCCAGCTGACCAAAAATCAACTGCAAATGCAAGTGGTTCCCATCATTCCCCAAATGAGGGAGAACTGTCTTAGGTCTATACTAAAAAAAAATAATTATTGGTCAAACCTTTAAAATGGATAGCTTTTTTTTTCTTGTCAGAATCAGGCAAAATCCAATCTTGTAGAGAATTAATTCTAGCCTTTTCTTTAGACAACATTAAATTATTATACTTTGATAATGAAAATACTAAAATCAACATATTAATCTTAAGGTAAAAAACTCCACTCTAGCATGTAAAAAAAAAAATATTCTGAGGTTTGTTTTTTTTTTTAATCTTCAATCATATACATTAAAGAAAATGTGCAACATACCTCGTCCATCCACAGTAATACCTATTCCACTGCTGCACAGGCCATGGAATTCAGCTACTCAATTGAAGCAAGAGATGTTGGGGAAAAAAGAGTATGTTATTTTCAGTGTTTCACCTTCTTTAATCCCAAACCAAATCCACATGATTTTTTCAATATAATTTTTCTACAATGTAACTAATAAAATGCCAAAGTTC